TTTTTTTTTAAGTTTGTCGCGGGGTGGGGGAGGGGGGACCAGAACAACCGAAATTTTTAAAGGAGACGGGGTTGCGTTCAGTGGTCCAAGGAAGAAGAAGGGGTTGCGTTTTATAAAGCTGTTCGCAGTATTATACTGCGTTTTAGGTAAAATGCAGTATAATACTGCGAACAGCTTTATAAAATGCAGTATTATACTGCGAATAAAAAAAAGAAAAATTTGATGTAAAAAGCAGTACGGTACTGCGAATTACAAAAAAAAAAAATTAAAGTAAAACGCAGTATGGTATTGCGTTTTACTTTAACGGACTAATTTCCGTTAACGTAGTTCGCAGTATAGTACTGCGTTTTATTCATTTATGTAACTTTTTTTTTAAGCAGTATAAAAGTGATTTTTGTCCAAAAAAAACATCAAAAGCGTTTTGGACTCCTTGAACCACTGTTCTGAAATTCAGTTCTGTCGTTAAAAACACTACTGTACATAATAAAAAGTAGCAGAAATTCAAGAATTTGATAAAAGTTGCAATTTCATGCTAGAATACAAGATTCAAACGGTTAATCCGTTTTTAACAGAGAGGAATCCAAAACTTCCAATATAACTGAGGACCTTATGATTTAGAGCTTCAGGCTCCTCTTCTAGAATTGGAGACTTCTTGATTTTAAAGCAAATACAGGAGGCATAAATTGAAATAGTGGCCATACTCCGTTGGGGTTCTCTTATTAAGTAGTGGAATTCAATTTCTCGTGATAATATATAGCCTTTTTGGCCGTTCTTTTTTTTTTTTTTTTTGCCAAAAGTCTTTTTTTTTTCTTTTTTTTTTTTGTGCTGCCAAAAATACTTTTTTATTTTCAAAGTTAAGGTATTTTGCCAAATTTTTAGAAAGAAAAAGTATTTTTGAATAGAGGCAAGAAAAAATTGCTTATCCCCAAAAACACTTTTGAGAAAAACACACAACTTGTTTGGTCAAGCTTTGGGAGATTAAAAGCGTTTTTTTATTAGAAAAAGTTCTTTTTAAAAAAAAAATTGAGGTGTTTGGTCAAGATGCATAAGTGCTTTTGAGCAGCAGGAGAAGCAGTTTTTCTGCTTTTGGGAAGAAGCTACAATTCTAGGTTCTTCCAAAAAGTGAAGCAGAAGCAGAAAATTAATTATTTCAAGACAAAAATATCCTTACCATAAATTTATATTTTTAAAATTATTCTCATTAATTTTGGTTTTTCTTTTCTATTTTGTTTCTACCATCCCCTTCTTCTCTTTTTCTATTTCGGTGTATTTTCATTCTCCTTCTCCTATCCTCTTTGGAATAATCTCTCTACTATAAATTAAATTCTTCTTTTTTTATTCTACCGTTTTTCATTTCGTCTCTTATTCCTCTTTGAAACAATTTACAAGGCTAATCACTAGATTCAAATACTCTCTCCACAAGATATGATTTTTTTCTTTTGTAGTATACTAATATTATATGATCTTCGGTTTATAATTATATTTCTATTTTTTTTTTGGCTTGCATGCATATACTATAGTTGAAAGACTGCAATACTAGCTAGTTTCTTATTTCTCAAGAATAGATAGTGCTTTTATATATATTTAAATAAAAATAATTAACTAATTAAATTATTTTACAATAAATATTTGAATTCATTTCTCTTTTAAATAATATTGGTTGTAAATTAAACATTGATACTATCCCTTTTTTTATTTTATAATTTGATGCTCAAAAGTACTTTTTGAAAGGATGGGCCTTACATAATTTGCTTGTCAAATATTGCAAAATACACTTCTCAAATGAATTGATCAAAAATAAACTGCTACTCTCCAAAATATATTTTTTTTAAAATCACTTTTGACAAAAGCACTTCTCAAAATAAGCAGTTTTTGGCAGCTTCGCCAAATGGTCTCTCGGAAGTACTTTTTAACTGGAGAAATTCAAAAATAGCCAGATTTACAAGTGGTTATTCAAAAATAGCCACAATTTCAAAAGTAATCGAATTTTAGTCACTTTTCATGTAAAGATAAATCTGAATGAAAACACTGTTCAAAATTCGGAAAAATACTCCAGCATAATATACTGGACAGTATAATATACCGGTCCAGCATAATATACTGGAGTTTGGAGCACCGATGCTCCAGTCTCCAGTATATTATACTGGAGCCAGCAAAGTATACTGGTCTAGCATAATATGCTGGAAGTTCATACACAGGTGCACCAAACTCCAGTATATTATGCTGGATCGATCTCTGTTGCAACAAAATAATAGCTATTTTTCAATGACTTGGCAAAAACTAACTATTTTTGAATGACCAGTCCGAAAACTGGCTAGGCCGTGCTATTTTAACCCTTTTAACATATTGATCATACACTAATCAGTGCTCAAAATTATTTTTAAATTGATTAGCCAAACACAAACAGTTTCTCACCAAAAGTACTATTTTTTAAAAACACTTTTCAAAATACACTATTTCAGAAGCACAGCTAAACATGCTCCCTCTGTTTTACTTTAATATGCTCCCTCTGTTTTACTTTATTTGTGATTTGACACAAAGTTTAATAATAAAAAAAATTAAAATTTATAACCTTAAATATCTCATAATATTTTTGTGGCTATAAGACTTTTGATACTCGTGACCTTAAACATGTCATATCATTTGTATGGTAATAAAAATTTCGTATTAAAGAAATATTAAAATGTATTATTCTTTTCAAGTGGACTAATAAGGATATAGTATCGAAAAAAGTGAAACAGAGGAAGTAATAATAATATGTAATAAGAAGCACAAAAGAATGAGAGTAACATAAGAAGGTAGCATGAAGAGGCTAAATTTTAAATATATTGTAAATTGTGGCTATTTTAAATAGCACCATTAAAAATGGCTACTTAATGTTATTTTTGTTTAAATAATTGGAAGTTGAGTCACATGGCGTTAATTATCTTTTTCCAGTAGCCACAATATGGTGCAAAAAATCCAATATAATACTTGTAAAAATAGCATGGTATAACCAGTTTTCGGACTGGTCATTCAAAAATAACCAGCGTTTACGAAGTCAATGAAAAATAGCCACAATTTTGCTGCAACAGAGATCAGTCCATAATATACTGGAGTTTGGTGCACTTGTGTATGAACTCCAGCATATTATGCTGGACCGGTATACTTTGCTGACTCCAGTATAATATACTGGAGACTGGAGCACCGATGCTCCAAACTCCCGTATATTATACTTGACAATTATACTTGCTGGACTCCAGTATATTATGCTGGAGTTCTAGTGTACTTATGCTGGAACTCCATCATATTATGCTGGAGTTCCAACATACTTATGCTGGAACTCCAGTATAATATACTGTTCAAGCATACTTGTGCTGGAACTCCAGTATAATATACTGGCGTTCAAGCATACTTGTGCTGGAACTCCAATATAATATACTGGCGTATTTTTCGGGTTTTGAACAGTATTTTCGCTCAAATTTATCTTTACATGAAAAGTGGCTAAATTTCGATTACTTTTGAAATTGGGCTATTTTTGAACGACCAGTTGTAAATCTGGCTATTTTTTAATTTCTCCCTACTTGCTTGCTAGGCCCCTCTTGACTCTTCACATTGATCGATTTCTAAACAATATCATATACGAGTATGATAAATATTGATTTCTTGCATGTACCGACATATTTTTACATATGTTAAAAAAAATCAAAATTACGAAAAATATCGCCAGCTTCCCTTTCTAATAGGATATAATTGAATTGGAGAATCGAATTTATTGTATGAAAAGTGTGGATTGAGTTTGTTGTTTTTCATTTTCCCTCTTTTCTCTTGATTTGTTTATCGTCCCTAGCTGACATGTTTCAACAAATTTCTTTGATCGTCTTTATATGAAACTAATGCACCAATGCAAGTCTTGTTCGACTAGAAATTAAATATTAGTATCAAGAATTTATATATTACTGACAAGACAACATCTAATATTGAAACAAAAAAAGTAACTTAAAACCTCTGCTCATGCTCTCCTTTCTATATCTGTCTCCTTGGTTAACATCCTTGGTGTTATTCCCAGTGCCATCTAATAGTTATTGTTCCGAATGTTCACAATCAATCTGCATTTCTTACAAACAAAAACCTTATCTGGATCACTTTGTTTAAACAACCCTCTTTAAGAAAACGAGCAACATCATGATCAATCATGCAATCCCATTCCATTTCAACAAAATATTGACCACCCGAACGGGACCCATGACTCAAGGTTAATGCCAGAAAATAGAAATTAAACATAGGACAAGTTAGTATTATTTCGCACATATAACATTAGTATGAGATGTTTGGAGAAACTCTTTATATGCTTGAGATATGAAATAGAAGTTCCTCACCTTTTTCATTTTTTTGTGTCACACCCCTTTTTTACCTCACTAACCCTCTTTAAAATATATAAAGTGATTCAAAAAGCTCAAAAGGGTTTTCAATTAGAAAGTGACAAAAGATTGTGTTTCGAAAGATTTTTAGAGTCGCCACATGATATTTGATTTCGGTGCGCCAGGTCACCGTCTGTTTTTTAAATAACAATTTCCTTTCAAATCGCGTTTGACTCTTAAACCAGTTTGCACCAGAGATTCTAGATAATGGGTTCATTTGACTCGGGGAGAATGTGTTAGGCATTCCCCGAGTCCCGTGAAAGTCACAATTGCATACCCAATCTAGTTGGCTTTTTAGAATATCGAATTGAAGTAAAAACAACAAATAAAGAAAAATAAACACACAAGAGGCTCGAGGTTGTTCCCCACCTCGATAAGGAAAAAGAAAATAAATAAATAAAATAAAATACTATACTATGCCTCCATGGTCATACCGTCTTCTCCTTGGCCTATATTTACATGTACCTCGGGGGCATTCCTCGGATAAATAATAAACTAAAGGAAACAACCTTTCACCTCAAAATTCAAATAAAAATCCTAAGGCTTGCCTATCCAAGTGATAACGGCCTAGGCATGCTCCTAAAGATTAAGCGAGTAAATAAAGCGATAAATACTACAGCACTAACTTTATTTTATTATTAATTATCCAGCCCCTCAAACCGTTCAAACAATCCATAACAGAGTTGAACTAAACAAGATAATCATCCATCCCATGCAATAAAGTCACATCTAAACAAATAACCACCCGAGCAAATAGAAGTAGAAAAAACAAATATAAGCCAATGCCAGCAGGTAACGAAAGGGAATTAAATCATGAGAAATTAAGTTCAGGTGGAGGGACTAGTAGTTTGCGAATCATATTGGCTCATTTGACACAGATATGCCTAAAAGAAAACCCAACATTGAAAGGAGATTCATGACTCAAAAGCAAGCAGTTAATTAAGGAATCGAAATTCCTTGCAAACTTTAACGCTTCAATTTTAGCAACTAAGAATCAGACTCAATTCAAACACTAAATAACATTAAATACTTCAACCACTTTCAACTTAAATCACAATTCCTTCAACTCAATGAAACATAACTTGTCAATGTATCTTGAGCATAGCTTGAGACTTAAACTTTTCAGACTTAAAAATTAATTATTCAAGCCCATAGGACAAGTAACAAAACTAAACTCACTGCTTTTATCAACATAACATATGGAGTTCAATACAAACTAATATACCTAATGGAAATTAACAATGAGAAACTGCTTAAGACCAATTAGAGTGTGAATCATGACTCTCAATGTAGAACACATGAAAGTTGAACATGAAAGTGGACACAATCACAAAGGAGCCTAATAATTTAGCTGTGATTCATATGAAAACCAAAGAAGTTTACTAAAAAAATTTGAATGACCATTAAGTTAAAAACACCGACGTCCTTGTTTCCATTCCCATTTTTTAAAATCGTTTTTTAGAAGAAGCTTAGCCCAACAGCAACAGAATTGAATTGATCCAAGCCGAGCGGAAAAATCACAATATCCAATCAAACTACGACCAACGAGCAAAGGCAAAGGAACGAAACAGAGCACACAACCAATGCATTAAAATAAATGGGAATAGCAGAAGGAACCTGTTATGTTAGAATATCTCTTGACAGCAAAGAAATTCAGCAGGTACAATGGCTTCAATTACGGAAATTCAATGGCGAAATAGGCAGCAAAATCTCAGACCGAATCACGAACCAAACATGGACGGGAACTTCGAACTCGACGACTTCTCAATCAAACTCCATTTTCAACTGAAATCGAGATCGAAAAAAGACTGAACAATAAAACTCTTTTTCTTTGTAGTATTTTTGGTTTTTCTGAAATTCTACTCCTAAATAACACAAAACATTTTTTTTGTATGAGTTTTCTGTTCGAAATTTCAAAAAAGACAGGAAAAATCGAAGAAGGAAATTGAAGAACAGAGGCAAAGTCTTAGCCCTCGAAACCCTAATTTTTCTCTCCAAAATCCTGTCCCGTTTCTTTTTTTCGTTCCCTACCTCTGTTTTGTGAGAAATAGTATTCTGCCCAAGATGCTCTCAATCGTGAGAGCTTGTCTATTATATATAGAGTACAATCTACAATGTATTAAGTCAAGAAGGACTCTATCTAGAATATAAGGTTATGTAAACAAGGACTCTTTAGAATACAAAGTGTAAGACTAAATGAATTCTACCTATTCTATATGTACTAATACACCCCCTCAATCTGTACTGGTGGGAGTAACAGACAGATTGTCCCGAAGAAAACAAACTTGAGATGAAGGCAAGCCCTTCGTACAGATATCTGCTAACTGCAAATGTGTTGGAACATATTGAACTATAAGATCTCCTTGTGCAACCTTATCACGCACAAAATGAAAATCAACAGCAATATGTTTCGAGCGATCATGAAAACTGGATTACGGGTCATGTAAGTTGAATTGATGTTGTCACATAATACATGAATTGGTTCATGAAGAAAGATACCAAGCTCACAAAGAATGTGACGAATCCAACAAGTCTCAGCAACAGTGTATGCAATAGCCCGATACTCGACCTCTGTAGACGATTTTGAAACTGTTGGCTGCTTCTTTGCACGCCAAGAGATAAGATTAGATCCTAGAAACATAGCAAAACCTGAAGTAGAACGGCGACTATCTGGACAACCAGCCCAATCAGCATCCGAGTAGGCAATAACCATGAAAGTCGGAGATAGGGCACGCAAAGTTAGACCATAAGTCAGAGTACCCTGCAAGTACCTGAAAGTACGCTTGACACAATGCATGTGAGTGGTACGGGGAGCATGCATAAATTGAGAGACAACATTTACAGCATAGGCAATATCCGGATGAGTCATAGTCAAATATTGAAGAGCACCAACCATGCTCCTATATTCACTAGGATCTGAAAGTAACTCACCGTCCATTAGAGAAATAGAAGTGCGAGAAGCAATGGGAGTACGAACTGGTTTGCATGTGTGCATATGAAATTTAAGTAACAAATCAGAAATGTACTTTTGCTAAGACAAGTGAAGACCGTGAGATGTACGAACTGCTTGAATACCAAGAAAATAATAGAGATTGCCTAAGTCCTTCATAGCAAACTAATGGGATAGACGAGAAATAAATTGATCAAGAAGACCATTATGACTACCTGTGAGAAAGATATCATCAACATAGAGTAATAGAATAAGGATATGAGAAGAAGAGCGATAAATAAACATCGAACTATCAGATTTGCTACAAGCAAAACCATGAGAAATAAGAAATGCACTGAAGTGATGAAACCAAGCTCGTGGAGCTTGTTTCAAGCCATAGATGGCTTTGGTTAGCTTGCAAACATGATTAGGATAGTCTGGATGAATAAAACCTGGAGGTTGCTTCATGTAGAGACAGCAAGGGAAAGAACAATTCTCGCAGTTGTCGAACGAACAACAGGGCTAAATGTCTTATGATAATCGATGCCTGTCTTTTGATGAAAACCTTGTGCTACAAGGTGAGCCTTGTATCGCTCAATGGACCCATCTGAATTATATTTTATGCGATATACCCTTTTGCAACCGACTAAGTTCATGCTAGGGGTAAAAGGAACAAGGATCCAAGTATTATTCTCTAAAAGGGCATTGAATTCATCTGCTATTGCTTGTTGCCACTTTGAATTTTTCACAGCTTGAGAAAAGCAAGAAGGTTCCTGTTCATGGATATTAGCACTCAAAGAAAATTGTTTCTTTGGCTTAGAAATACCAGACTTAGATCGAGTTTGCATTGGATGCTGGGAAGGGGTAGATGGCGAAGTTGAGGAATTAGTAATAGGTAATGAGGTAGACAAAGATGGTGAAGAACCTGCATGTAATGACTCGCTAAGGCTAGGTACAGGTGAAATAGGCTCTACAGGAGAGATCTGACAACTTGTGGAATCTATAGTTCTAGAGGATAAAGGTTGAGATACATGAGAAGTGTTATGTAATGATGGAACATCGGTAGACACAGAAGATTCAAGTTGAGGTGGTGGAATCCTACGATTTAGAGGCGACATGACAACAAGAGGATCAGAATTAGAGGATGAAGGGGAGGCAACAGTAGGAGAACTAGACAACTCAGAATATGGAAAAATTAGTTCATGAAATATAACATGTCTACTAACATATACACGACCAGATTTTGGATCTAAACAACGATATCCCTTATAATCAGATGCATAGCCAAGGAAGACACATCTAACTGAACGAGGTGTAAACTTATGAGAAACTCGAGCAGACAAATTGGAAAAGCATTCACAACCAAAAACTCGGAGAAAGTTGTGATATGGAATTCTATGAAAAAGTTTCTCAAAGGGAGAAAGTCCATGTAAAATAGGCGTAGGTAACCCGTTAATAGTAAAAACAGCATAAAAGGCTGCATCAACCCAAAATTGAAACGGGAGAGTAACATCTGTTATAATTGTGCGTACCATTTCAATAATGTGTCGATGTTTCCGTTCAGCAACCCCATTTTGTTGAGGAGTGTCCGGACACGACTTACGAAAAGAAATGCCAGAATTAGTAAAATGTGAAAGCATGGCCTTATTGTCAAACTCGCCTCCTCCATCACTTTGAAAATATTTTATCTTAGTGTTAAATAAATTTTCTACCAGCTTTTGAAAGGCACAAAAATGAGTAAAAACTTCTGATTTATTTTTCATTGGATAAAGCCATGTAAATCGAGAAAAATCATCAACAAAAATAACATAATATTGAAAGCCCAAATTGGATAAATGGGTGATTGCCAAACATCTGAGTGAATAATATCCAAAGGAAAAGAACTACAATGTTCTACTTGATTGAATGATAAACAATGAGACTTTCCTAGACGACAAGAGACACATTTATTAGTAAACGAATTTGACAAACTAATAGCATTATTGTTTTTAAGAGTAGCTAAAACACGAGCACCACTGTGTCCCAAGGGACGATGCCATGTATCACCAGACTGACAAAAAACAACATAAGCTTGAGGAGAAGAAGACCTGGACCAAGGAGATAAAGGATATACATCACCCTCACTGGAAGCTTGAAGGAGAGTTTGACCCGAGGCTTTGTCCTTAACAATAACAGAAGATGAGTCAAAATTAACAGCACAATTATTATCTTTACATAATCGCTTGACAGAAAGTAAATTATGGCGGAGATGGGGAACATGAAATATGGATTTCAAATGTAGGGGACGAGATGGAGTGGGTAACTGAGCGTAGCCAATATTTTCAATTTTAAGCAAAGATCCATTCCCAACCAAGACATGATCAGAACCATTGTAAGCAGATTTATGCATAAAATTACCTTCAGATGGAGTCATGTGAGCGGTAGCAGCTGAGTCTAAATACCAAGTAGCATAATTTGTTTCACCAACCGACATAGCAGCGAAAGACTTAGGCAGATCGTTAGCAACAAATGCATGGTTAAAATGATTATTACACTGAAGAGCAGAATGACCAGGATTTCCACAAATTTGACAAACAGTTGGAGAAGGTGGAGGACCTAAAACTCCAATGGAAGATGAAGGTGCACTAACAGATGGCGAAATATAAGGGGCAGTTGGAGCGCTACCAATACCTGACGATGATTGTCCAGGGAAACCACTGCGAGTAAAAGTGTATCCAGAAGATGCCTGATGTTGTTGACCCCGACTAAAGGAGCCTCGACCTCTACCACCACGGCCTCGACCCCTAGATGTGAAAGAACGACCCCTGCCACGACCTCCTAGAGAAGCAAAGTGAATACCCGAGACATTTGAGTGATTTGAGTCACATTTTGAGCAGCAAATGCTTGATGAGTGACAACTGTATCTATATCCTTGAAACGCTTCAACCGTTCTTCATGGAGTAGAAGTTTCGTTCTGAGTTCTTCAAGCGACAATGAACCAGGATAGTGTGTAATAATCCCAACCAAAGTGTCATATTCCTTGCCCAATCCAAGAAGCACATGATCAATAAAATCTTAAGAAGAGACAGGAGAATTTATTGCTGCAAGAGAGTCAGCAATCTGCTTGGCCTCGCGAAGATACTGATCAATTGACATAGAGCCATTTTTGCGCATAGTAGTGAGTTGTCTCTTTAGTTCAACAGATTTTGCTTGACTGGCATCTATGTAGCAACGTTGTAGAGAATTCCATATATCATGTGAAGTAGGCAGTAAATGAACATCCATGAGAACTTCTCGAGAAAGCGTCGCAAACAGCCAAGAACGAACATTTTGATCAACTTTAACCCATGATCTATAAAGAGGATTAGGTTGTTGAGTTCCAGATCCATCACAGATAAAAAGATGTGGTAGAGGAATTGAGCCATCAACAAATCCAAGAAGTTCACGTGAGAGCAGGGGAGATTGAAATTGAGTACGCCATGTGAGGTAGTCTTCAACAGAGGCAAGCTTGATAGTTACCAGATTTGTGACGTTTGGTGCAGCAAGAGCGGCGACAAAATTGAACTGTGAGAGAGATGTTGGGTCCAAAGAACCAGTAAATGGCAATTGAAAGGGTAGACCAACACTACTAACTAATGAACCAGGTAAAGTGTTTAGAGAGGAATATTGACCAGGGAGAGAGGTTGGCATCGAGGAAATTGAATAAGAGATAGGAGGAAGGGAGAATGGTGGAAGTGTTTGAGAGAGAGGAGGAATTATGAAAGCTCCCGTGGTTGAAGGTGCAGATAAATTAGAAGGAATAATAGGATCTGTCGGAGAAGAAACAGGCGCTGAAGATGTTTCCCTGGTGGATGTCACCATATTTGATTGAGAAGAACTTGTGTGAAATAGGTTTGGCTAATAATGGCTATCTGAGACCATGTGAGAAATAGTATTTTGCCCAAGATGCTCTCAACGTGAGAGCTTCTCTATTATATATAGAGTACAATGTATCAAGTCAAGAAGGACTCTATCTAGAGTACAAGGTTATGTAAACAAGGATTCTTTAGAATACAAAGTGTAAGACTAAATGAATTCTACCTATTCTATATGTACTAATATGTTTTTCGCTATTGTACGTATGTGTGTTTTGGTGAAAGAAGGCGAGGGTTTTTGCGGCTGAAGGTTAGAGAAAAGGGTGGCCGCAGGTGGTTGGAGAAGGAAGGCAGCGGCGCTGGGGAGTTCTTTTTCTGGGGTGGGCGGCTGTGGTGAAGAGATGATCGGTGCTGAAGCCTAGTGGTCTCGAAGGGTCTTTTGGGTTGGTTAGGGTGGGTGGCGGCTGGAATGAGGGTCTCTTCTCTAGGGTTCCTCCTTCTAGGTCTCAGGAGAACAATAGGATTTTATATGGGGTGTGGCAAGGGATAATAGCCCTTGGATCCAAAGGGAATGGAAGGCTATGATTCATTTTCCTAAACTAAAGTGGCCTGATGGGTTGTGGGCTGGGTCAAGGTTAGAGGGGTTGTGGTTGGGGTAGATGAGATTGGGCTCATGTAGAAGATTTAAATTTGAGCCAAATTTCAGCCCAAGATCTTAATCCTCTTCTACAAATAGCATAAAATCTATACTATAAAATATAAAATTAGTTCTAATAAAATAAAATAAATAATGTTATAAACTATTTTTGGTATTTTTTTCCAAATATCATACAGAAAAAGATATGGGATTAGATTAAAATCATCGCAAAATTAAAATAATATTACTACCAAAAATACTAATATTCTTGAAAATAAAGTGAAACTATTTTTGTATTTTTGAATTTTATGAAAGGTAGATAAACTAAAAGTAACTAGATAAAATATCAATTAGCTAAATAAAAGAAAAATATTTTTGTAATTTTTATTTTTGTGATAAAATAAAGTAAAAGAGTCAAAACTAGTTAAAATAGCGATATTAAACCTAAATTAAATATTTAAACGCTAAAATATGTAAAATCTAGGGAAAGGTCAAAAATTACATGTCTACATTTTGCATATATGTATATTTGTAGTATTTTAACAACAAATATAATATTTAGTTTCACAATAGATATCGTTGCTAGCAGTAATATGTATGTTGGTAAAGGTTCTTTTTAAGTTACAAAATATTAGCCATTTGTTTTAATACACTACATTGGTTCTTGTTGTAAAAAACTTTACGAAAATATATAAAGATTTGATACGTATGCCTATGATTTGAAGCCTTATTTATATATAAAAATTGATTGTTCAACAAACATGTAGGACTCCCATAAAATAATAGGCATTGTGATGGGTATTTCTGTTGAACGAAATTAATATGAAGTGACAAGTGTCAGTGAACGACCGGCGATGCGATATAGGTAATTTGAAGCATATACTAGTAGATTAGTAGAAGGGCGGATCTGATGTGTCACTGGTTATGAGTTCACGTGAACCCTGTAACTTTTGTTCAAACATTGTATTTATTTTTATGAAATTCACAAAATTATCAATAAATATGTGGCACCGAACTCAGTTATTATTATAGTATTAACTTGAAGTCATTGTAGAAAACCATAAACCTTAATTCCCGAATCCATCTCAGGCTAGATTGGCATGGACATGGAAATTAGCATGCAAACATTCACGCTGAAATGTCTAAGGTTATGCACGCGGTTAGAATCCCATACTGGTTGAAGGTATGAAGTGTCGTCTATATACGATATTGAACAATACTCAGCTCCGACTTTTGGACTTGAATTATGTTCGAGGTTCATTTTCTCAATATACATACTTATAAAGTACGTGAAAAATCAATCGTGTGTCTAACAAAGTATCACCAAGCAATAAGATTTTACTATACCAAAAACACTCTGCAATATCTTTTACATCATGTACAAAACAGATGTTCTGACCAAAATATTTCATGACAAAAACACATAGAAACTGAATATTCTGACCTTTGAACCTATAAAAGAACGATTCAAATGAACTATAACTTATCTGTACACATTATAACCGACAAATAACTTATTTTCTTAAATATACATAAGCTCGTAAGAACTTGGAATTTTAGAGGAAAAACTGTCAAACTTCACCGCTCAAACACATCAAACTTCAAGTTTTTCACAGTCAACCTCAGCGAAAATGTGGAAACACATGCACGTCTTAGCTCGAACATGTTATCTTTTTTCAGTTGCTTTTAGGATACCATCACCTGTTTCTCAATGCTTGCGTCAACTTTGTTGATTTCTTTCTCTGCAGTCAATTTATCAGCTGTATCGTACGATAGCTTTCGAGGCTTTATAGTGCGTTTCTGATTAGCAAAAGTTGATTTAACAAAAATTGGCGTTTTTATTGTTTGACTTTTGTTACTTTTAGGAGTCTTCCTTGCTATCCTTTTGGCCATTTTTGGAGTTGATGGAACAGTAATTCGGCTTTCCCATGGCCGAGCAGCAATCCAGCGATCCGTCCAGCTCCAGCCCCAGTTAGCTTTGCTGATATCATGGTTGCTCGATCCAAATATTGGGTTGGAATTGGCCCTCCACTGTGAAATAATACGTCAATCAGTGATGATTCTTATTTTGGAATGACAATGTAAATAGTATATAATCTAGAGAAGTTCGGTTCACTAAGCTCCCGCCATACGCGGGGTCCGAAAAAGTCCCGGATCACAAGGGTCTATTGTATGCAGTCTTACCCTGCATTCCTGCAAGAGGCTGTTTCCACGGCTCAAACTCATAAACTCATGACCTCCTGGTCACATCGCAGTAACTTTACCAATTACGCCAAGGCTCCCCTTCAGTATATAATCTAGAGAAATCATATGAGAATTAACATGCCTGATGAGAAAATGCATATGTCATGGTTCGCTCCCGCTTCACTGCTGCTTCTTCTCTCTGGTGTATTCTTGCTAGAACAACTTCCATTGTTTCAGGGCCACCACTCCACTCTACCTGTCAGTCGCTCACTCATGTTAAACGTTAAAGTAACGAAAATTTAATAGTCTCTTTGTCCCAGATTATGTGACACTCTTTCCTTTCTAGTTTGTCCAGCAAAAAATGACACATTTTTATACTTAGAAATAATTTAACTTAAACATTCTCATTTTAGCCTTAATGAAATTTGTAGTCATACAAAATTTTATGGCTTGTTTTAGACCACAAGTTCTAAAAATCTTTCTTTCTTCGTTAAACACTGTTCCAAGCCAAACACCATCACATAAAATAGGACGGAGGGAGTACTACATAATTCAGGGCCAAGTCTATGCAGAAAACTTGTTAAGGTAAACTACTCATGATATAAAGCTAGTATGAAAGCAGAACTTAAGAAAACAGCTAATTCTAACCTCTACGTTATGAAGCTTTGCCTCTAGCTTCAATTGATTCTCCAGCTTCTTCTGCTTAAGACGCCCTTCTATTACCATACTAATACGGCGAGCTCTAATCTCAGTTTGTATCCTGTTCCATGAATGGAGATTGTTCAAAGTTGCTGAAGCTTGTTTTTTCACTGAAGAGCTTTGTGTCATAGACTGTAATCTTGATATTCGTTTCAAGCAACGCAAAGTTTTCCTTGCCTGAAAAAGGAGAAAAAATCTATTCAACTTAAATAAAAGAGTAAGTAGCAATTTCTCAGGAAGACTTGAAAATAACTCTATCTTGCAAGATAACACAAATAGAAACAAATATAAAGTTTGAAAGGATACATTCAGAACAATAGCAACAAGAAGTACATTTCAATCCCAAACTAGTGGTGATCGGCTATATGAATCCTCAATATCCATCCCACTGCATTGAACAATACATTCATCTCTTTATTGAGGGAAAAAAATTCAAATATATGCAGCATTTTTTGGTAGGGTAACCTTGGCGTAACTGGAAAAGTTGTTGTCATGTGACCAGGAGGTCATGAGTTCGAGCTATAGAAACAACCTCCTGCATAAATGTAGGGTAAGACTGCATACAATAGACCCTTGTGGTTCGGCCCTTCGTAAGACCCCCGCACATAGCAGGAGATTAGTGCACCGGGCTGCCCTATATGCATCATTTTTTCAATTAGATTCATTCCCGGTCTAAGGGTCTATAGCTTCAGGTTTTGAGTCATCCAACATCAATGCTTTCTTTTCACTAATAGATCAACCAGTGTTATGAAAAGAGCTCGCTTCAGTGCTTAAAGCGCGAAGCGAAGCGAGGCGGGCACATGGTCGCTTCTGTGTTGTGAAGTGATATGAAGCGTGCGCTTCTACCAAAAAAGCGAGAAGCGCGATTGAAGCGAGAAGCGACAGTAGCGAGCGCTTCAGTATATTAAGTGGTTGCCAACGTTAATTAAATAAAAATGCTATCTTTTTTCAAAATATCATCGAGCAGCAGAGAAAAACAGCGACTAGGGTTCCCATTTTCAACACTTTTCAAGTTCAAGCCCAGGTTTGTGATTTCTTCTTCTTCTTCTTTCACTGTTTCAGTCTTACATTGCAGCGAAATGCTGCCCAATTTTTTTCTTACTTACTGCCCTTTTTTTTTTTCGTTTCAGTTCTTTTTAGTTCTTAATGCCTTTTTCCGTTTCAGTATTTATTTTAAATTTTTTTTAAATTCCGCTTCACTTCAAAAAAGTGAGCACTTCGCTTCACGCTTTAAGCGAAAAGGGGCTTGTCGCTTTTCCTAGTTTTACTCTCTTCACAGCATTGAGATCAACAACTATTCTTAATACAAATAGACAAATTCTCTGTTTTCCTTCAAGAGTGTAATCCTACTTTACAATATGGTAAAATTGTTTTGGTATGAACTGCATCATTTAATTTTCCAATTCCTACATTTTCTTTTCTGGTTGATCAGGTGGCGACAAACGACAAATTTAAGCTGTGACACACCTACTGAAAAGATATAAATAAAAAAGGAACAAATATCAATTGCCTGAGTATGTTAATTGGATTATGTCCTAAAAATATGTTGATTTTCAAGGAAAATACATCAGCAGAGAAATTTACTTTAAGAAAATATAGTCTTATTAAGAAGGAAATCATGAAACAACATCTATTTTCTTTAATCTTAATACAACACTGTGAGTTTACCACATATGCGCGGAAAGCTGCCTGAATCTTTGTGGCCGCTTTATCCTCAAGAGCCATTCCTGGTTCCCTGTTATTTCTTATAGAGGTGCCACTTGATCTCCTTGACGGCTCTTTCTGAGAGTGGTCGTCCTTGCGTCCAATAGAAGTTCCCTGTCTCAAGAAAAAACTACGAAGCTCATTGATCTTGTCTAGTTAAAGGAGAAATTTTGATACAAGTAACAACTAGGGAAGCTTACCTTTAATCTTTTCGATCTGCTATCTTTTGCTTTTCTCAAACTGATTACATTTTTAAGACAGTATCCAGAACCCATTGCAGATGCTTGTTATATATATATTACTCTGCAGGGCAAAACAAATTGAAAAGGAAAGAGTATTAGTTATGAACAGTGGCTTCAGAATTTTTCCTAGTGTATTCCAGCTTGAAAGAAGTGAAAAAAATTCCCCAACATAGGGTATTCTATATATATTATATGCCTCTAAAACTTAATATTTTACCTACATACACAGTGTAGTTTTTCGACAAAGAGTGGCCAATGAACCACCCTTAGGAGAATGTAGCTTCACCCATAGTAATGAAGTTTGTTACTTTTCATATGCCACGGCTAACATACACTTGAATCAGAGGATAGAAGACAATGAATATATTTCAAATGATTGTGCATTAGGAAGGAGATTTGGACTTTCAAATACAATTTTCACACATGGAAATGTGACTTGAACCAACAAAATTGAAAATTAAGTAGTCGGCAATTCTCAGCTGTTTGCATGTATTTACTTTGATTTGTTTTACTTCTCACTTTGGCTAGGCAGGAAGCTGGGAGATTAAGCAGGACTACAATATCTAAAGCTACAAATGGAGCGAATGGATAGTGAGGATTCATATGGGCCATCTCAACTAGTTTGAAAGTTGGAATCCAAGCGTAGTTGTCGTTGTACACTCTCCACAACGACAAGACCGACTGGAAAAAGTTATTGGCATGTGATTATTTATTCCAAAAATCAAGCTATTATATTCGCAGATCCATTATTTTCAATCACTACGCAGAAAATCTAAGCCAATGTTCTGCAATAAAAGCTATCCAGCCTAGCACATGTTATATTATAGGGAAGGAAATTATTTTCCTAGGATTTTTCATCATAATCAAACTTTCAATTGATAGATTATACAGCACATGAACCAAAACAAATATACTTAATAATCCCACACGGCCACACCTTGCATCTATTATCAGAAAATATGTAACACATTAACTACTGCTTAATGAAACTCTTATCTAGCAACTAGCAATCATTGTCTTATGTGATGTACAATCAAGTAAAAGATGGTACTAGAAACACTGACTGTCAAGCAAATTAATGTAAAGATGATTGTCCAACCCCAATAGGAGTAACCTCTCAAATTCCGCAATGTCCAGTACTGTAGTAGAAATCACCTCATATACACAGAACTCCATGTCCTAGGCACAAAGCTCCTTGTACGCAAACTTATATAACCAACAACAACAACATGCCCAGTATAATCCCACAAAGTAGGGTCCGAGAGGGTAGGATGCACGCAGACCTTACCCCGACCTTTGTGAAGGTACAAAGGTTGTTTTCGACAGACCCCCACGGGTCCTACTAATATAACCATGTAGAAATCACATCATATACACAGAACTCCATGTCCTAGGCACAAAGCTCCTGGTACGTCAAACTGATACCATGTAGATATATCTAACTGGCTCAGACCTATTCGTAATTGTAGTCAGAATAAGTGTATCCTCAGAAAATTCGATCAAGTATTGCTTAATATCCATCTACGGTCTAGGGGAATCCATGATCTAACATGCATTACTCCATATAACACCAGGGGTCCATTGAGAAAAGCTCCAAATAGGTAGTAGAAGACTCGATAAGCAGAGACGAATCCAAGCATGAGTATCACTACACCTAGTCGCGGAGCTTAGGACTACATACAAAAGAGATTCAAAAAAAATACTAGAAATAGATTTGAACACGTTACCTAAAGCAACTTTTGAACACCTTTTGCCAGCACAATAGAATATTCCCTTATGCCAAGCGGACTCTCTTAGGATCAAGCGCTTACCATAATGCCAAAAGCTATAGCTGATAGGAAGGTCACAACTTTAATTCTTAACTAAGCCCACCAAGTAAGCACCATGTTCGACCATGGCTTTGAACCGGGCCACCCCAGCCCCTTCATGGGCTTTGCCATAGGTAGGGTGTTGGTGTTACCCAACAATCGTCCTCCCAACACTTGCCTCATACAGTATGTTGTTCTTGGAAACCGAGCCCATGACCTTGACTCTGATAACACTTGCTAGGATCGAACGCTTACCACATATGCCTCAATATTTTATACATAACAAAAAAAGAAAATCATTTTTTCCCTACTTGAGCTGTATAATTTTACCGCAAAGGAGATTCCGTTCACCCCTCACCAACACCTAGCTCTGTGACTGCACCCACTACTTTTTTAGGAGAAAACGGTCGAATTTGTATAAACATATAATTTTAAGAATTTCTTAACTACACACATATATAGAATTTGAACTAATCGTGGTGCAATCCCACCCGTTGCCAACTATGTGAATCTGCCTTAGCGTCTAAATAAAAGAGATGACAATTTCTGCAGAGCTAATAATCCAATGAGCTAAAAACTACTATTGAATTCATAAACAAACAGATGCGGCATTTCTCTTAGAATTTTGGTCAAACAAAGAGTACCCAGATATATATTTACAACAGAAACTAACAAGAGCAGATAAAAATACAAATTTCAAACGTACTATTACTACTAGTACTATTATTACAACAACTACTACGGCTCAGTCCCAAACAATTCGAGATTAGCTATATGAATTCTCACTAACCATATTTCTGTGTTTAAGCTTAACTCATATCATTATTACACCAAATAAAAACAAAAGTGAAAAATAAGTTCTCTATGTTTTTACTGGCATATAAATCTATGATAAGGTACAACATGTGAAATAATTAAATTGTGGGTAAAAGAACATACCACAGAGGAAACTTTGACATGTAATAGTAGCAACAGCCCTTGTTATCAAATGGGTAATCTTGAAAATACAAAAGAAAACTGAGT